GCTAAGACAGTGAAGGGGTAAGTCTGAGATTGTAGTAAGATTCTTTTTTTTAATCAATTACTTCTTGTTGTAGACGTTTCTCTCTTTTTCCCCACTGATACCCTCCTCCCCACTTTCACCCCCTGCCCTTCACAGTACTGTTGTCTATGTTGGTTATGCATATATGCATATAAGTTCTTTACTACCGGACGGGGATGGAAGAATCCCATAGAACATAATGAGGACAGTTGTAGCAGAAAATCAAATAAGTTCCCCTGGCCCCCAAAGGAACAAAACAAAAACAACAAGCATAGACAGCATCTTATTGTATAGAGAGCATCTAGCCTGGAACCTGGCGCATGTTTAGAATGCAACAGATGTTAGTTTTAATTACTATTAATGTTATGACTTTTTCGAGTTTGGGTTTATTATCATTTTGTATACAATTAGCAACACCACAATTCTTCCTTCCAGCTTCCTTTCAGTTATATATAGTATGCAAAGGAAAACAACATAATGTCTTTTTTTCCTTCAATGCAGTGACTGGTGTGTTTGGGGGTGGGGGTGGGGTTGAATTCCCAGATGGTGTGGTCCTGGGAGACGGCACAGTGGGGTCCCTGCCTCTCTGGAGGGTTCTGGGTGATTTTCCTGGAGAGAGGGGAGCTCCTCACTTGGGTGGCAAACTTGCAGCAAGCCTGGAGGGCGGTGAGCTTGAAGACAGCCTCCGTTTCCAGCAGACTGCTCCACTGTAAGTAAAAATAAAGTATCAGAAAGAAACGACAAAAGTTCAGCACATGCATTTGGTTAACACGTTGTAATAAGCTGGTGTTCAGTTCAATAGGCTGTTAGTCCTTTGCGACACCGGGAATGAATATTATCACCCGGCAGCCAAACAGAATAGAAACAAAGAAAATGTTAGAATCTGTTTATCCCCGTCCAAGAGGAGACCATGATAGGGCTTTGTCCTCCCAGGATAGTTGTTGGTCTCGCTGCCTTTTCCCAGCTTCTTACGATGTTAATAGTTTCTGGGAATACGGACAAAGTAAAACACAGACAAAACGAGGCTCGGGGTAAGCTAGAACGTAAATGTAAGTCGCCTGAGACTATGCCGGATTTAATTCCAGGGATTAACAATGTGGGAATTGGCGCTGCACCCGATGTTGTAAGTCTAAATTTTGCACCCCTCAGAAAATCATTTCGGAGTATCTCTCGCCTCCTTTGTTAATGATCCCCATCAGCACAACCACGACTATCTGTGGACCACAGGTCCTGCACTGTGCTGGATGCGGTGGGAAATACCTAGGAAAAACTCCACACGTGGCTTCTACCCTCAGAAGCCTGCTTGGGAAGGAAAGAAGCTAAAGATTAAGTTAGAAAAGGATTTTTGGATATTAGCTTTAAGAACCTATTGTAATCCAGAGACAGAAGATATCAGCATCACAGGCAAAGTGCAAAAATACGTGTACTGGATGGCCAGCTAACAAGCGGATGTGTCTGGCTGCAAGGGAACAGGATATATTTGTTAACTGGATATTCTGTACAACGGAGGTGGCAGAAACAGGGGACTGGTAAGAGGTTCCTGAGCGATTGCTGCAGACACCAGACAGTGTCTCTCCCTTCTGGGGCCTCTCCTCCAAGGGCACATTCCCTTCTGCCATTTTCAGTCGCTAACATTTGAGATGAAATTACGGTCAGTCGGGCTGGCTTCGAGCTCCCCTCCGACTCTGAGGCAGGGGACCTGTTCTCACGCTACAGCTTCCAGGCTGTGTGTTTGCAACATCTTCTCAACGGTGGTCCCCTCTGAACTGCAGCATCTCTCTCAGGGTCCCCGTTATTTCCAACAAGGCCGTGAGACCTGCACCACAAACCCCCTAAACGAGCGCACGGATAGCGGCCTAGCGCAGTCTGTGCACAGCACGTCTTCGTTTCGTGACTTCTTTTTGTTTTCTAGAACTTCTGTTTCATTTTGTCTTGAGCTGGCTATTACAGTCTGTCCTGAGTGGGGGGCTTAGTGAGTGGTTCCTGGTGTCATGAAGCGGTTGCATTTGTTCTAGGAAGACCAGCCCCCATTTCGACAAGGGGCTGGGTGCCGAGATCTGCCTGGCTTGCAGCTGCCCAGGACAAGCATTGTAAATCCCCTTACTTATTAAAGCTGCCCCTCCCAGTCTGGGTGGTCTGCCTCCGATTCCTTGCCCTCCCTGGATGGGGGTCTGCTGGAGAACTTGCAAGTCCCTAGACGCTGCAGACCCTGGAGGGGGAAGAAGGTAGCAGAGACCCAGGCAGATGAAAGTTAGAGGGGCTCCACTCCCTCGTTTCCCAGGCACGCGAGAGCTCTGATCTCAAGGGCACCCACACTGCAGGCGTGAGATTTAGTGGGACGACTTCTGGATCATGGAGTCTGGCTCCCTGGTCTCAGGACCCAGATATGGTGGAGGCTGAAGGTGGCTGATTCTTTTGGGGAAGCTCCGTTTGGACTGTACAACATGTTCTCAATCAGCCAGTGCCAGCCAGTGTTAGAAGTGGCACCCAGGGTTAGTTCTGGGGGTCAGGAGTGTTAGTGACTCTGAAAAGGAAGGTGGTGGTACAGGTGGGGGTAGGAGACGGCAGGCCAGTGGTTCTCCAGGTGCAGGTCCCAGCACGATCCCTGGGCATCTGTGAGAAATACAAGCCCGAGACTTCCGGTCCAGATGGCGTAGGTGAACGCAGTCGTCCTCCCACAACCACAGCAAAGTTACAACTAAACTACAGAACAACCATCATTCAAAACCGCCTGACATCGAGCTGAATGGCAGTCCTACAACTACGGGATTAAAGCAGCAGCCACAGGAGACTGGTAGGAGGGGTGGAGGGGATGGGCTGGTCCCACACCCACGTGTGGTGGATAAAAATCAGGAGGACACCTAGGCTGGGAAGGTCCTTCCTGAGGACTGGGGGGTCCCCGTCCCACACCAGGTGCCCCGCTCAGGGTTCCAGTGCCAGGAAGAGAGTCCCCATCACTTCTGGCTGGAAAAACCAGCAGGAACTGAGGCTCAGGGAGGCTGAAGCGGCTGGAGCCCCAGGCAGCTCCTTAAAGGGCCCGCGCACGGACTTATCGGACTCTCTCCCTCTAAGCCTGGAGGGGAGGCAGCTCGAGGGGCGCCAGAGACATACAGGGAAGAACTGAGCTGTTTGGCACTGGAGCGAGGGCTGGAGAGGGGGCTTTCTCCGGGACAAACGTGCTGTCAGAGGCTTCTGTTCCTTTGGTGAGCCCTTCTCTGGGCGGCAGACAGTCTCCATATCTGGGACTCCAGCAACCTGGCTCACACTGGTAGCCCCGCCCTGGTGAGTCCCTGAGTCCCCGCCCCACCCAACTTTCAGGCCCACCCAAGCTGCTGCCAGTTGCTTAACCATAGGATTGGCCTGTCTTGGATCCTGCTTCAGGTTTTTCCTAAATTCTTTCAAACGAGCAGCATCTGGTCTCAGCTAGCCCCATACCTCTTGTTAAGTAATACACAGAAACAAACAGGGAGGCAGCCAAAATGAGGAGACAAAGAAACAGGTCCCAAATGAAAGAACAAAACAAAACCCTAGGAAAAGAACTAAGCGAAATGGAGATAAGCAACTTAACAGATGCTGAGCTCAAAATACTGCTTATAAAGATGCTCAATGAACTTAGTCAGAACCTCAGTGAACTTAGTGAGGGCCTCATGAGCATAAAAAAGGACCAGTCAGAAATGATGAATGCACAGTCAGAAATGAAGGAGGCATTAACTGAAATAAAGAATAATTTACACAGATTCAATAGTAGAGTACATAAATCCAAGAAGCAAACCATTGATTTGGAATATAAGGAAGCAAAAAATGCCCAATCAGAACAGAAAATAGAATCCAAAAAAATGAGGATAGTGTAAGGAGCCTCTGGGACAACTTCAAGCATGCCAAAATTTGCATCTTGGGGGTGCCAGAAGGAGAAGAGCGAAAACAAGAAATTGAAAACCTGTTTGAAACAATAATGGCAGAAAACTTTCCTAACTTGATGAAGGAAACAGACATACAAGTCCAGGAATCACAGAGAGTCCCAAACAAGATGAACCCCAAGAGGCCCACACCAAGACACATCATCATCAAAATGCAAAAGGTTCAAGACAAAGAGAGAATCTTAAAAGCAGGAAGAGGAAAGCAGTTAGTTATCTACAAGAGCGTTCCCATAAGGCTGATTTCTCAAAAGAAACTTTGCAGGCCAGAAGGGAGTGGCAAGAAATAATCAGAGTGATGAAAAGCAAGAACCTATAACCAAGATTACTCTGTCCTGCAAAGCTGTCATTTAGAATTGATGGCCATATAAAGAGTTTCCCAGACAAGAAAAAGTTAAACCATCACTAAACCATTATTATATGAAATAATGAAGGGTCTTTTTGAAGAAAAAGATAAAACATATGAACAAACAAAATGGCAATGAATACATATCTATCGACAATGGAATCTACAAACAAAATGAACAGGTAGAACAGAAACATTCTCATAGATACAGAGAACATTTTGTTGTTTGCCAAATGGAAGGGGGGTTGGGGGAATGGGTGAAAAAGGTGAAGAGATTAAGAAGTACAAATTCATTGCTAGACTGACAAACCTGAAAGGGAAAGGGGTTGGGGGGTGGGAAGAAATAAACCAAAGAACTTATATGCATAACCAATGAACACAGACAATAGTGTGGGAAAAGGCGGGAGGGGTGCGGGAGTGGGGAGGAGGGGGTCAATGGGGGAAAAAATGAGGAACATCTGTAATACATTAAACAATACAGATTAAAAAAAAAAAAGAAATACAAGCCCGCCCTGGCCGGGGGCTCAGTTGTCTTGTGCACTGAAAGGTTGTGGGTTCAATTTCTGGTCAGGGCCCATCACCTGGGTTTCGGGTTTGACCCCTAGCTCCTCTCACATGGATGCTTCCCTTTCTCATGGATGGCTCTCTTCCTCCCTCTCTAAAAACAAAATCAATGACAAACATATTCTCAGGTGAGGATAAGACAGAAGATAAAGAAGATCGTCAGGCCCACGCGGACCTGCTCAATCTGAAACTCTGGGAACAGGGCCCAGCAAGCTGAGGTTAGGACCCTCTCCTGGTGATTCTGATGAACATTCACGTTTGAGAATCACTGCTGTAGATCGACTGGCTCCCTGTTCAATACTTTGAGGTGACCCTCGTGGCATTTATGTAAGCAAGAACAAGTGGAATCAAGGTGAAAAAAACCTAGGCAAATCATTTCTAAATTTCTCCCAAACTTCTGCTGTTAAGCATAAGTTTATATTTTCCTCTGCTACATAAAATATAACATTCACCGAGAAATTCCTATATGCTTGGCAATGTGCTCAGTATTTCACCTACATTATTTCCTTGAATTTTCCCATCTTTTCTATTAATTAGGTGCTATTTTTATTTCCATTTTACAGATGAACAGACGAAAGGATTAAGAATCTCATTAAAGGTTTTGGAGCTAATAAGTGGCAGAGCTGAAATTTGAACCCAGGGAATTTCACAAAAATGAGCTTGGCCTTCTTAACTGCTAAGCTGTGCCAGGCTACAGGCTCTTAATTTCCCATCACGCGCTCCCTGCGTGAAGACTGCGGACCCAGCACGCTTTGGTAATGTATATTGATTGGTGTTGTCTTGCTCTGGGTATGATGTAGAACTGGTATTTTGCCTGTCATTGCTAACTCATTGCTCTTGAACCTCTACAGAGTCAACCATTTCAACATACTTGTGCGTAGTTGAGCTCAGAGCGTATTGCTGAGCAGACTTCGTACATACTGTGTTTTAATCTTGCACTGGCTAAATTTATGTTTTCCTATTACACCTGTAAATCTCCCCTTGTCCTAATCTGAATGATTTACCATTTTCCTCTCAAGGACTTTCCTGTGTTGTATTGGCACCTCCTATTATATTTTAGGAGAAGGGTGAAAATAATGAGACTTGGTGATTTTAAATCTGTCCCAAATATTGTTTCGGGATAAACATCCAATTACTCTTTTTTTTTTTTCTCATGGCAAGTTTTCTGTAATTGGAAATGTGGAGATAATCTGTTTTAAATTCCAATGTGTGAAACCGTTTCGATGCCACGGAAGCCCTCTCTTTTGTGTGTGAGCGATGGAGAAAGGGTTGAAGAGACTTGGCACATTAATTTTAATTCAGAGGTAGTTTCGGAGAGACGAGTTAATTTTCTAAATCAGCCTGGAGAGCTGGAGCCGGGGACATGCGTTCAGGGGAAAATGTCATCCTCGGCTGGGACAGTTATGAGGTGATGGGCTGGGGGTAAACCGGCATCGGAGTGCAGCCATGTGCCCAGAGCCGCGGCTGGTGTGCCTGAAACTTCCCGACACTGCGTCTTGCTGATTCTAAGACAGATCACTTCTTCGCTTTTTAATGTTGATGAGATCAGAATGCACCTTGTCGTTGATGCATATAGGGTAGGATGGAGCTTTTGGCTGAGGCTAATCTAGAAACTATATTTTTAAAGTAGATAGCAGTAGAAGGAGTCATGATCGTTTTTCCTTTTTAATTGTAATCCTGGCAAAATGCACATCTACGTTTTACCGTCTTTGCTGTTTTTCAGTGTCTAGTTCAGTGGCGTGAAACACATTCACACTGTTGTGCCGCCGCCACCGTCCGGCTCCGGGACTTTGTCACCGTCCCAGACTGAAACCCTGCACCCGCTACAGACGAGCTCTCCATCATTCCCTTCCTCTAGCCCTGGCAACGACAGTTTGCTTTCTGTCTCTGAATGTGTCTATTCCAGGTAACTGATACTAGCGGAATCATACAGTATTTGTTTTTATTTTGTGACTGGCTTAATTAATTTTACATGATGTCTTTAAGATCCCCCTATGTTGCAGCATGTGCTGGAATTTCCTTCCTTGGCAGGCTGAACAATGTCCCGCTGTGTGTATATACCACTTTGGGTTTATCCATTCAACTGGTGGACACGTGTTGCTTCTACGCTTCGGCTATTGTGAATAATACTGCTGTGAACATGGGCGTATACATAGGTTTAGGAACTTGCTTTTGATTCTTTTGCTTATATACCTAGAAGTGGACTTCGTACATACTGTGTTTTATTTCCAGAACCTGCAACCTAGGTATGTGCCCTGACCAGGAATCAAACCCACAGTCTTTTTGGTGTATGGGATGATGCTCCAACCAACTGAGCCGCCCGGCCAAGGCCATCTTTAGTTTTTTGATGAAGTCCCACACTGTATTTTATAATGGCTTCACCATTTTGCACTCCCACTAACTGTGCACAGGGTTTCGACTTCTCCACATCCTCACCAACACTTGTTCTTTTCTTGGTGTTTTGATAGTAGCCGCCTAGTGGGTGTGAGGTGAAGGAATCACGAGTCTTAACGGCCTTACTCACATAGAGGGTAAGATGAATGGGCAGGGACTGGATATTTGGGGGTGGCTTTGGGAGGAGGATGTTGGTAGAGTGCTGCTGATTTGATCCCATGGGGAAAACAAGTGAAAATAAAACCTAGGGACAGGTATAAGTTGTGTTTCCTTTTATTTTATTTTTTTAATATATTTTTTCTTTATTAATTTTAGAGAGAGCAGAAAGGAGAGGGAGAGAGAGATTGAAACATCAATGAGAGAGAACATTGATTGGCTGCCTCCTGCATGCCCCCCACTGGGGATCATCCCACAACCTGGGCCTGTGTCCTGACCGGGAATTGAACCGGCGACCTCTTGGTGCAGGGGTCGACGCTCAACCACTGAGCCACACCGGCTGGGCGTGCTTCCTCTTTTTTCTCAAGTCAAAAAAGACTTTCACCCACTTTGTGTCTAAAGACACCGCTTGGAGATGTAACGTGTACATGCCAGATGGCCTCGGAGAGTGTTCACACGGGTTCATGACATCAGTAGTCATGTGGGAACTTTTCGGTCCCTGTCTCCCCTCCCTCCCTCCCTTTAACTCTGGAGGAAGTTGCGGACAGGAGTGGAAGCCTAGGCCGGAGGAGAAAGAAGCAACTGGCCACACCCCATAACCTGCTTACTCTCCACTGCAGCAGACGCAGATAGAGGAGGTAGGCAGCTTTAACTTCATATCCGGACCAAGTTTTGATTATGAAATGGCACCGACTATTCTAGTTACCAAGTTGAAACTGCCTTTGTCACTTCAAGTGATAGTTGGACTTTTTTAATGACCTAAGAGAAGCCAGAGCATTCATGGAGTCAACTTCTATTTTCATCCAGGGCAGTAAGTAGTCCCATGGAGCACGTTTGAGGGACAGAGAAGTTTACAATTGCCTGCAATGACACCCTGTGGATTGGGCTGATCAGCGGAATGGTTATGGGCACAGGGAACGCAGCAGTGTCTTTCCCAGCTGAACCTCTGCCCAGCTGTGATTAAGATAATGGTGATTTGTTCTTGGAAAAGTGAGAGGGTGGGGAAGACTTTGTCTGAGACTTGTTAGGACATTTAGAAAGAGAGAACAGTCCAGAGTTATGGTGTTCAGTGGCGGTGCGTTTGGCCTTGGGGCAAGTGCTCCCCTAAGGGGAGACTTCTACGCGGGAGAAATGGGACAAGACATTATGGCTGAGGAGGGGATTAAACAAGGATCTCACCATCCCTCCAAGACAGTAGGATTCTTTGGTTCTAAGATGTTTAGCTTTTGAGTTTGACCAAATGGACTGTACTGTTCCTCCCTCTCTCTGTCTCTCTCTGTCTCTTTCTCTCTCTCCTTGGTCTAAGTTTTGGATTGAGGTATTTTTGTTGTTTTGTATTGAGGCCTTAAATGTAAGTTCATGTAAGCTCGCCATTTATTAAAGACAGAGAATATTACATTATATGTGTTTGCCATGTTAAAATAGCTTCTGACAAGAATAATTTATTTAAAAAAAAATTTGTTTCTGTTGTATTACAAAAATATTCCCAAATTACTTTTGAGTAAAAATTTCAAATTAGTCAGCATCCACTAGATATCAGCAGTCGTGTTGTAATGGGGGAGAAGTTTATTTGAGGAACACAGAGCTTTCCTTTGGGTTATTATTCGTGTTGAAGTATTTTTCCATAATCCCAGTTACCCTTCACCCCCCAGACCTGTATTTAGCTCAGCTCCATAGTCCACCCAAGTATTAGTTGGATTTTGGAAGTAGTTAATAAGAATAAATAAAATTGGCTTAAACAGTAAAAAAAAAAAAATGTATTTGCTTAAAAAAAAAAACAAATCCAGAGGTAGGGTTGGCTTCAAAGGTTCTTCAGAGCTGGTCGGCCTGTCTGCCCTCCTCCTGGGTTGGCACCACCCTCAGGCTGCTGACAAGGGGGCAGCGGGAGTTTGGACAATGTGTTCTGTCGTGACCACTCTAGAAAGGAAGAGAGATTCTTGTTCCCTCTTTTAAATCAGAACAACTTTTCTTGAAGTGCCTCCGTCCTTCCTTCGCCACAGCTGACTTCGTCATCCATCTCCTTGGCTGGAATTCGTGATGCGTCCGAAACTGGCACCTGGCGAAGGACCAGGTATTGCCGTGATTGACTTAGAAAGCCAGGGTCCTTGGCGCGACGGTGGGTCTGTTTCTCTTGATGCCAAGGGAAGGGAGGGCCCCACCAGCCAGGACTGTCAGGAAGGAGGGTGTGTGGGAGAGATACTGTAGAAGCAGCCAGTTGAATGTCTGTTCCAAAAAAGTGGGCTTTCAGTAAAGTCCTATGACCATCAGTGTGAAATGCATTTTATTCAAATGTAAACTTCTCTTTGTTGGATCATAACAGGTTAATCATCTTAAAGCTAGAAGGAACCTGTCCTGGCCAGTTGCTCAGTGGTTAGAGCATTGGCCTGCAGACTGATGAGTCACGGGTTCAATTACGGCCAAGGGCACTATCTCTGTTGCAGTTCGTCCCCGGCCCTGGTTGGGGTCATGCGGGAGGCAACCAGTCAGTGTGTCCTTCTCACGTCGATGTCCCCCCCCCCCACCCCCCGCGCCACTCTATCTGAAGATACATGCGTGAGGATAAACTAGAAGAAGAAGCAGCAGCAGCAGCAGCTAGAAGAAGAAGAAGCTAGAAGGAGCCTTAGGTAGTGTCTAGCCTGAACTATTTGTCTGGGAACCAAGGCTCAGAGAATGCAGGTGACTTTCCCCAAATCCCACTTAGTGGACACTACGTCACAAAGCTGTGGGCAGCTCCAGTGCAGCAGTAAGGCCGTGACTACCACGTCATCGCTCTGTAGTGAAACTTCTCTTGACTGTGGCAGAGGGTCAGACACTGGGAAGTGAAGTTGAAGGACAGAACAGGAAAGTTTCAGAGGCAACTGTTTCTCCGTTGGGCTGCTGCCAACTTTTTCTGTGAAGGATCAGACAGTCAATACTTTAGGCTTTGCTGGCCTGATGGTTTCTGTGGCAACTATTCAGCTCTGGTATTGCAGTGTGAAAGCAGCCGTGAACGATGTGCAATAAATGGGCATGACCATCCCAATAAAACTTTATTTGCAGAAACAGTAAGTGGGTGGAGTTTGACCTTCTGTTAAAGTAGTTTGCTCACCCCTGGCTACATGCTTCCACAAGACTGACCTTCTGGCTGCAGTTCCAGTAGAAACGTGGCTTTGACATGGACCAAAGGAATTTCAGACCAGGCTCAAGGATTTGTATTCCCCCAACCCAAAGTCACAGCCTTCCACTTTGTTTATGTGATGTGGTAACTCCTCTTTTTATCCAGTCAATTTAGCGTGACAACTGGTACATTCAGTATATTAAGCAGATCCAGTTTATTTCGCTAATTTAATCGGTCAAGCAGTCAAAATAGTGTGCTTTTGCCAAGGCATAACCTTGATGTAATTTAGACAGATAATTGTCCAGGAGCCAATCTACCTGAAAGTTAGTTTATCTGAAATCTTCATTTCTCAGTGAGCCTACTATGAAAACAGCTAATTAAATTACTCTCTGAATGAGGGCACAGCTTGCCTTGGAATCAATTTAACCAAATAATGAGGCAACTTCTAACGTTGTTGCAAAAATTGGTAGCAGGAAGTCATTTGCAAATTGCCTAAACATTCTATTCTAGAGGACACAGGTCAACTATTTTTGGCTGGGAAGTCACACGACGGGCGCATGGCCTGAAGTCCCAAGAAGGGGGTCATGATTCGTATTCAGGGCAACTGCTTTCGCAAACCGTCAGAAGTAGGGGCGAGATCTCGGTTCCACTGTTTGGAGCAATCACTGCGGTTGTGCTGAATCATTTTGATTGATCAGCTTCGTCTTGTCAGATGCAGTGACTTGATCTTCCCAGTATCGGGTCATGTCAATTGAGCTGCTTTTCCCGCCGGGAAGCTGACACCCTTAATGGCAGTTTGGGCCGATGCCCTACTTTTTTTCAGTCCCTTTTAGAAATTAAAGTAGTCTCATTCCAGGTCTTAAAACTTTTCCTGTTCTTTTAAAGACCTCCATTACATATTCATTTCCCCCACTTCCTCCAAACCTGGCACAGACGGGATTTCTGTGTGGAAACCAGGAGTATTTGTGGGGTCTGCGGTCTGTTGTCTCGCCACCCCCTCCCCCATTATTTTCCCTCTGGTGTCTGGGTGTTGAGGTGTTGGGAGGAAAATCACTGTCACCTCATGTAGCTGCTGGTGGAGGACAGGCTGTCCTCACACGGCACTTGTAAGACTGTTCCGTTATGTGAACACTTTCACCTCGAAGGAGGCAAGGTTACTTCCCAACCCGGTGCGTGGAGCTCCAGCTCAGCCACCTGCTCACTACCAGTTCCCTGGGGGAGCATCCACATGCTGGCTCTCCCAGGACATCCTCTGGTCTTGAGGGTCCTCAGGGCCACCTTCCCTCGCCATCTGGTACGAGAGGTCCGGCTGAAGTGAACCCTCTTCCTTCCTCCCTCCCAGTCTCCGTCCCTGTGGGCACCGCCCTGCCCCTGTTGCTGCAGGGTTCCTCTTGCCCAGCAGCAGGGGCTGCTTCACGGACACGTGACCAGTGCCGTTGTACAGGGTCGCTCAGAAGTGCCCTGCCGTGGAATTGAACGCTCTGAGGTGCCATCCTGGCGTTATTAATGATTTGATCTTTGCATTTGTCTCTTGGAAGTGAAGTCAGATGAATGGAGCATGTGCTGGGGGCCTTGGCCTCTGTGTGGACTTACCTCTTGCTGCCTCCTCACTTCCCTAGGGTGACCTTTCATCACTCACACCCCGGGACCTGCCTGGCCTCCTCATCCCCATCCTTGCTGGTCAACGGTTGTTGCCCTCTGCCTGTGTGTGTGTAGTGGGGAGGGGCCTGTGTGCAACCCAGGCGTAGGAGGCTTGGGTTGGCGCATGTCTTGGGGCAGAACAAGGAGGCATCTGTCCCTGCCCTGAGCTGGCAGGGTCATAATATTTTCAGTGAGCAACTCAGTGGGTCCTCTTGACTGCCTCCAATCCGAGCTCATCCGTGC